CGTCGCCTGCCTCAGGAGTCCCACGAGCCAACAAGGCTCGAAAGGTTTCCTTCTTCAGCTTGACGGCATCCCTTACTTCCGGGGTTTGGGGGTTGCCGCCGTGACAGGCACCGGAGACCTTACGACCACAGCTCCGAGTGGCCGCATCAGCAGTGGAAGTGGAGAATGTGGTCCACTTGGCCTCAATGTCTCCAGTCTCCCTCGGAATCTGGTCGAAACTCTACCGGTGGTGGGAGTTAAAGACCTCCCAGACAGGGGGTTCTGTCAAACGTTCCCAACAGACCCTCACAGTATGTTTGGGTCTGCCGAGTCTGTCTAGCTTCCTCCCCCGCCAACCGACCCAACTCACCACCAGGTGGTGATCAGTTGACAGCTCAACCCCTCTCTTCACCCGAGTGTCCAACACATATGGCTGGAGGTCAGATGAAACAACCACAAAGTCGATCATTGACCTCTGGCCTAGGGTGTCCTGGTGCCATGTGCACTGGTGGACACCCTTATGCTTGAACATGGTGTTTGTTATGGACAAACTGTTACTAGCACCGAAGTCTAATAACAGAACACCGCTCGGGTTCAGATCAGGGGGTTGTTCCTCCCAATCACGCCCCTCCAGGTGTCACTGTCATCGCCCACGTGAGCGCTGAAGTCCCCCAGTAGAACGACACAACCTCCCACACAAGCTCGGGCTCCTTCCCCACCAGCGAGGTGACATTCCATGTCCCCAGGGCTAGTCTCTGTGTCCAGAGATCGGGGCCCTTGCCTTCGCCTGCTGCACAATCCACTGTGCACCAGCCCCTTACGAATCCTCCTGCAGGTGTGGGCCCACGGGAGGATGTCCCCAAGTCACTCATTCGGGCTAAGCCCGGCCAGGCCCCGTGAGGGGAGGCCCGGCCACCAGGCGAATGCATTCGAGCCCCAACCCTGAGCCTGGCTCCAGGGTGGCTGTGCCATGCTGGGCAATGTCACGGTCCTTGATTTTAAACTATTCATAAAGGTCTTTCATACCTTTTATTATTTTTCCTCATCATCACTCGGTGCACAATGTAAGGGCACAACACAAATCAAGCTAACTTAGCATCCCACAGCAGGCATTGTACTCTTGCCCCGAGTGCTCTCCTGCAACTTAAACTATGTTATCACAAAATGCAACCACAAATGGCAGGTATGCTTGGCATGGACATTTAACCAACAAATGGGTATATATGATGTTATGTTTTATTTGTAAATATGTGCTCAAAGATATAAATCAGGAAGAGAGTAATGTCTTTGTTTTTTTACTTTACATGCTTAAAATCACAAAATGATAAATATCTCCAGACCATCCAACACTTCATGCTGATTTTTTCAGGGATTGTTGGAGTAAATGTAATGATGATTTGACTTACGTTTTGTAACACTCACTTCTGTGGTAATGGAGAATGGGTCTGTGGATCTCCCCTACTGCTTACAAGGCTCTATTTTTCTTTAAGAAATTTTTGTGTTGTGTAATTAAGAAATATGCATGTCTGATTTTCCACAGGGGTTCTTCATTTTAGTGTTTGGGCCACTATTTGATTCCAAGGTATGTTGACTTCATATACACTTAATAGCATATCTACTCTGGAGGCTAACATAAGCAGCATGTTATTAGAGCAGCAGCAACAGCTTCTACGCTCTGTCAGTGTTGAGTGGCATCTACTGTATGTGCATGTGCGTGCATAAAGTACAGCACCCCACAACCCTTGTGTGGCCTGTGTAGACAAATATATCTGTTATCTATTCACTCAGATGTATATGAGATCATTGACATAAAACGAGGCAGAAAGTTCCTCCTTTGTAGACACGCCATTATTCATTTTGTTGTTGAGTGTAAAATTAAATGATCAATATACTGCCCTGAGTGTAGTGGAAGAGGTACTCAGGCCTTTTACCCATGGAAAAGTAGCAGTAACACAATATAAAAATAATTTATTAAAAGCAAGCCCTACATTCAAAGTTTGAGTCCAAGTACAGAATATTTTTTATGTTTTTTAAGTTCTACTGTATTATATTTACTAATACTTTTGATTACAGTTCTCAGTGTTTCTTTTGTGTAACAGTTAAACATGATGAATTGAAAGATATAAACTCAGGGTGAACATAATCAATGAATTTAATTACTGTAACTTTATTAAGTACAGAAGCATTGTTGAGAAAATATTTCAAAATGAAATGTACTTATTATGTAACAAATGAACTATCAGTGTTAAATTATAGGCTTAGAATTACCAGTG